AATGGACTCTATATGAAGAGGTTGCAATTGCTGCCATGGACTGTCAATCTCTTGAGGTTGCAAAGGTAACAGTCGTTTCGTTGCAGCTCAATGTTTTTTGGATTCGAGTTTCAAATCTGTCACTTTAGGTGCTTTAGCAGATTTTTCTACTCATCATTAAAGAACTAATTAATGTAGATCAAGAATAGTTAATATATTTGTTATATATGGATTTTTAACATCTGAGACTTGTCTCACACCTTTTATTGTTCTTATAGTTCATAATCTCGCCTAGGAACTCAGTAGGAGCTATTGCAAATTATGCTGGTTGTTCATTTAGATGATATGTCCCCATTCCTTGAGATGTCATTAGTTCAAAGAAATAAAATTCATATCTGTGCCCCACCATACTTCTTAGTTCTTTTGACATTAAGTATAGCATGAAACCCTGTGTTCTGATTGCTGATGAAGTAATATTTTGCACAAATCGTTGTTCACCTGTGATTTAATTGATATTTCATGCTGGCAATAGATTTAGTTTGGTGATATGTGAGTTTCTGAATGTCGGCTTGCAGTTGGTATTTATTTGGTTCCAGAATGATTTTATGTATTTATTTATTTTTATTGTTTTAGACTTTATCTTTGCTTCTATTCTTTCTTAGCCCTTGTCCCATAACAAAATGTGCTTGGAATGTTCATTTGTATCACATTATTCATCAAATTATCTTGTTCCCTAGTTTTTTATTAATGATGTTTGCCTTTCCTCAATTGTCTATTTTCTTACTTGACTATGGGGCATGCTAATTTTTTTCTAGTCAAATTGAAACTTCATCATAATAGATTTTATTTTTCTGAACATTCTAATTTAGAATGTTGAGGTAAATTGAGTAAAGAGAGATTTTTGTACATATTGCTGCCAAGGCTATCTATCCTTGAAACTTCATTCGTATCTCTTTTTTTTCTTTATGTTTTCTTTCTTGTCTCTTTTGTGCATTGCCTTTCAAGACAACTGTTATATACTTGAGTCTTGCATCCATAGGTGTATTTGAGCTTATTTGACTCAACTCATATGCATTTGCTGTATACTGTAGTTGGGTGGTATGAGATTCTCTGTTTTGAAGTTGATGCAATTTTAAATCTGCAATCTTTTGCAGGACTGTGTAAATGTGTTGCGGAAGAAATTTCCAGAGAGCAAAAGAGTTGGTAAGTTAAAAATACCATCTGACCAACCATTAAAGTGTGCTTCAGTGTGTTTATGAGTGTGCATGGGAACTAATGATGAATTTTGGCCTTATTTTTGTTCATGATTGTTCAATTGCATGTAATGCATAACCCTACCAGGCAATTTCCTACCATTTAATAGCCCTGCATTAAGAAATTCGAAGATCACATCCTCATTTTTAAATTGTTCTATAAGGAGGTGGCAGCTTGTTTTTTCTTTAGTGATGGTGTGGATAATGAGGCACTGGACTTCAAATATGATATCTAAATGTTAATACCATGACCACACACATTCCTTCTTGTGGCTTTAGGTGTTTCATCGAGAGTTGAGAAATGGAGAGGGCTGGATTTGTTTTTGGTTCAAATGATAGAGGTCCTTATATAAGATTTGCATAGTGTGGGATTAGGAAGGTGGGGTGCCCTTTCGCTGGTGTTATCTTTTGATGCTTATTGTCCTTTAGTTGAAGTGGCCTGTGTTGCTGATTAGGGCCAAAAGATCTTATATACTTCAATTACTTTTGGTTCAGGCTGTTATATTTATAATTCTTTATTGGTGGGCTTTGCTATGTTTGGCTGATTTAAATTTAATAATATGAATATTTCCTTCTTTTGTTTTTCAACAGTAATCTTAAGGAATGTTTTTACTTGAATATTAACATGCGTGGCATGGTTTTCTGTTTTGACACAAATCACAGGCAGGCTGGAGGCACTGTTACTTGAAGCAAAGGGATCTTGGGGAGAGGCTGAAAAGGCATACTCAAGCCTTTTAGAGGACAATCCTTTTGACCAGGTAAATTTTTGTATCCAAGTTTTCTTGAAATTAAAATTCCTTGTAAAGCCTCATTTTACTGTCTTTCTCAACTGTAAATTATAATTGTTGTTAATTAACAAAAACTGATGTTAAAAATCAAGCTACTTTCATTTTTCTTATGTAGGTAGTACACAAGAGAAGGGTAGCTTTGGCAAAGGCACAAGGCAATTTGTCAGGGGCAATCGAATGGCTCAATAAGTATCTAGAAACGTGAGGCACAAACCTCCTTTCTTGCAGTTTTGATGATATTAGTTTAACATGGGACTGAATTTTTTTTCCCTCTTTGCTTTCGTTAGATTTATGGCTGATCATGATGCCTGGAGAGAACTTGCTGAGATATATGTCTCCTTGCAAATGTGAGGAATTTTCCTTTTTCATATTATATGTTAGGAAAGCTACTGTCTACCAAATGACTACCACCGTGTTGCTGCTGTATTATTTATCAGTAGCTTAAGCCCTGTTTCTGCCTTGATAAATCAGGTACAAGCAAGCAGCTTTCTGCTATGAGGAGCTCATATTATCTCAACCTACAGTTCCACTCTTTCATTTAGCATACGCTGATGTGAGTAACTTCTTTATTTTGGTTATATCATCCCCACCCACGGTTCCAATCTATCATTTAGCATTTGCGCAAGAGTAGCAACAGATCAATTCATATAACGACTTCTTTTATGACCAATGACCAATTCATATAACGACTTCTTTTATGACCAATGACCAATTCATATAACGACTTCTTTTATGACCAATTCATCTAACGACTTCTTTTATGACGAGCACTAAATGACCAATTCATATAACGACTTCTTTTATGACGAGCACTAAATTGCCTTTGCTTTCCTTAATCAACAGGTGCTTTACACTCTTGGTGGAATTGAAAACCTTCTGACAGCGAAGAAATATTATTCTTCCACCATAGATTTGACTGGGGGCAAGAATACAAGGGCGCTTTTTGGTATTTGTCTGGTGAGCTGCCTCATCCTCTTCCTTAATGTGTATGCACACATGTGCAAATATTTCGCTTCAGAATGTAGTTACATGTATTAGGTGATGCTGGCATTGAAATGTTTTTATAAGGTTCTATTTTCACCTTCCTCGGATGTTTATATAAGCCATGTGCTAGCTTTATTATCATTAGGAGTCTCTGTTTTCTGTTTTCTGCCTTTGACATGGTTTCTAAACTGTGTGACTAACAAGGAATTTATTATTCTTGTTATCCAGTGCACGTCAGCCATTGCACAATTTTCAAAAGGACGAAACAAGGAAGACAAGGACTGTCCAGACTTGCAGTCTTTGGCAACTGCAGCTTTGGAGAAAGAGTACAAGCAGAGAGCTTCGGGCAAACTTACTGTGCTCACTTCAGCTTTTAAAAGCTTGAAAGTTTCGTCATAACTGGTTGCTATTTTTGAAGATCATCTTTGTTGCCCCATATTCCAAGATCTGAAGTGGCCCTCAGTAACCTAGACCAAAAGCTAAAATTTACAAACACTGCAGATTCGTATAATTTAAATGCATTATACTAGTGATCTTCGTGTGTTCCCTCTTTCCTTGATTTTTTTTCTTCGCTGAGTCCTTGACATGAGATTTGATGTATTATTTGGAATGCCCAGTTTCACAGACTAGGAAAGTTACAAGGCTTTTATCCTATCTGGCAATTTAGATTCTAGACACCTCCTGTTTCCCTCTTATTTCGCTGCCTTCATTGTTTCGATTGCTCAGTTTACAGGGCCAGAGATTCGCCATCCGTTCTGCGTCTGTTATGGATGCCAAATTTATGGAATGTATAAAGTCTGGATGTCGTGTTGGTCATTTAGACATATGTCAGAGTTGCAGCTGCGGTTATTACAGCCAACTTCTTATCCTTGCTAATTCAATACATGAATTCTTGGATTCATGTGATTCCAAGGGTTTTCATTCTACCATGTACAATATACATGGTGTGATCTTGTTTGGGGGATTCACGGGAGTATAAGCGTTGCGCGTGTTTGGTATTATATTAGTTTTTGTAGTCTTTTTCAAACTTAAATTTATATTATAATTTAAAATAAAAAAAATGTTTGATAAAACCAAATAACTTACCGTATCTCGTTGGGATGCACAGAATATACTTTTGGATCTAGAGCACGAAGGGGGAATGTGGAGATGGGAAGGAATGCTATCGGGAACCCCAGAAAGGCTGGAGTTTATGGATTCTCCTTGGCCAATTTCTCTTATTAAGGCAAATTCCGAATAGTTTTTGCACCTTCCACTCAAGGGCTACATGCCTATATAACTCAAACCACCTTATTATTCCTTCATTTAAAAAAAAAAAATGTGTTGATTAATTTACATAATTTTAGTAATTTGGAAGTTGTTTGATAATGTATTTTAATTTGCGTTTAGATGTGTTTCAAAAGTGTATTCGACATGAAAAAAAAAAAATCAAATTAGTATTTTTTAAGTATTTTTCAATAATTTTAATATGTTGATATTAAAAATAAAAAAATTTTAAAAATATTTTAATATATTTTCAAGTAAAAGAGCACTTTACACCATAATACCATATACATATAGACACTTAATAAAAAAAGGTTATAGTAAAGGTTCATTTAAAAAAATAAAAAAAATAGAACTAATATAGAAAAATTCTAAATATAAATATTCTTATTAGTTTTTATTAATAATAAATTTTATATTTTATCTTCTTTTTATAAATATATATTTTTAAATAATTTTTAAAAGAAACTATTACTAGTTTCTCTCAGCATTACAAAATTTTCCAAGAAACTAGTAATAGTTTCTCTCAGCATTACAAAATTTTCCATGCCGTAGTACCTTAGTTTTAAAAAAATAAATAATTTCTGTTGCATAATACAAAGTAAAATCAAAAGAAGAAAAAAAAAAGAAAAGGGCAAAGATAATTAAGCATCAAAACGGTGGCGCATATGCATACAAGAAACCCTAGTGAAAATGGAAGATAAAAAAGGCAAACCCTAATAGGATTTGTATATAAATATAAAGGACCAACCTTTACCGTGTCTGTTTTCTCACCACAGCAGCAGAAGAAGCAGAAGGCAGCAATCAAACCCTAAAACTGCTTGCTGTTCTCTAAACATGGCCGTCGGGTACACCCTCCCCCTCTCTAGAATCTATACACCCTATTTCTCTGGTTATTGATGTGTTTGGCGTTGTTTTGCAGGAAGAACAAGAGGATTTCAAAGGGAAAGAAAGGGGGCAAGAAGAAAGCGTAAGTATATCTGCCAAGAGTACAAGAAGAAATCCTTTATTTTCTAGTCATTATGCATTTATTTAGAGATTTGGTGGTGGGTTTTTCTCTGTTTTGATGAAAAAAATTGAAACAGAGCTGATCCATTTTCAAAGAAGGATTGGTATGTTGTGAAGGCACCATCTGGCTTCACTGTCAAAGATATTGGCAGAACCCTTGTCACCAGAACACAAGGAACTAAGGTCTCGTCTTTTTTTTTTCCTTTTATCTTTACATATTTCATTTGCTATTGTTTAACTGAATTTTTTATTAAATGATATTGTTCCCCTTGTTATTACTTTTGGTTCAAAAGAGGGGAGAATGCATATTCTTTTCAAGATTTTTGCTTGTTTTTCTGCTGTAGTGTTTTTGAAGCACTGAGTTTGCTTTAATTTCTTGGAAAATATAAGGATTAATAAAAATAGAATGATGTGCTATCTGGAAATTGTAATGCACGACCTATGTGACTGTCTTATGATGCTTAGCGCTAATCTGATCTATTTGTAAAAGAGTCGAGTGATGGATGTGTTGCATGTATTCTGGATCCTTGCTTTAATATTAGAGTGATGCATAGAATGAAATAGCTGGTTGAAAGTTCTACTGTATATAGAATTCTGGTACATTTTCAGGTGTTTGTTTTGTTGTATGTTCAAATTGGATTTGGCTTGTTTTTAACAGATTGCTTCCGAGGGGTTGAAACATCGAGTTTTTGAAGTATCTCTTGCTGATCTTCAAAATGATGAGGATCATGCCTTCAGGAAGATCCGCCTCAGAGCTGAGGATGTGCAAGGGAGGAATGTGCTGACAAACTTTTGGGTGAGTACTTTTTGTGGCATAAAATTTTATTATCGAACAAGTAAGGCCATGATTCTGCTTTTCAGTGTTTTGTTGTATTGAAGTTTTCTCAAATTCTTCTTTTCATTCTAAATTTCAGGGAATGAGCTTCACAACTGACAAGCTGAGGTCTCTGGTTCGAAAGTGGCAAACACTGATTGAAGCCCATGTGGATGTCAAGACCACTGATAATTACACCCTCAGGATGTTCTGCATTGCATTCACCAAGCGGCGTCCAAACCAGGTCAAGCGAACATGCTATGCCCAAAGCAGTCAAATTCGTCAGGTTTACATTTTTCTCCCTGATTTATGTTTTCAACTGATGATGCCCTAGTTGCGTGTGTTAACTCCTGGTTGGTTGATGGGCTGTTCCTAATGTCAGATTCGGAGGAAGATGAGGGAAATTATGGTTAACCAGGCTTCATCCTGTGACTTGAAAGATTTGGTGCAAAAGTTCATCCCTGAGGTGATTGGTAAGGAGATTGAAAAGGCAACAACTGGCATATACCCTTTACAGAATGTCTTCATCCGAAAAGTCAAGATTTTGAAGGCCCCCAAATTTGATCTTGGAAAATTGATGGAGGTATATTTCTCGTGCTTATTCTACAGTTTCATATTTTTATCACGATATTGCTACAGAAGAATCTCGAATTGCACCATTAAACATGCTCACTTGAAATGTTGGAGTGCTAATGTATTGATGAGGTGGTCCTTTTCCTGCTGTTCTTGTGCAGGTTCATGGTGACTACTCACAGGATATTGGTGTGAAGATTGACAGACCTGCTGATGAAACAATGGCCGAAGGGGAGACTGAAGTTGTTGGAGCTTGAGTTCTTTTGGATTAGGATAGTCACTACTTGCTTAGTAGCATTTCAAGTAGAAATTATATATTGATGAAATTTTGTTCTTTTCAAAACTGTGTCCCCTATTTTGTACCTGGATCTGAGGTTTCTTGATATATACTCGCTCTCCTTATTTAAAGTTTGCTCTTTGCTGATGTAGGATATTTCTTCAGTGATAAAATGGTTGAAGTAACTGGCTTCATGAAACATTTCAAACATAGTAGATATTGCCGCCTACAATTGATAATTGCCTTCCACCCTAACATGTCTCTCCAAAATCCACCCCCTTACGTGCCACTTCAATATTTCGAATGATATGAATTGATGAATTTTCGTAAGATTATGGGAATTATTTTTATAGAATTTATGGGATTTTTTTATCTCTTAACCTTGTTATAAATTCTCGTATTATACCAGCACCAATGAGATGATGAGTGTGACTTGTTCCTCTGTATTTTATAAGATAATTACCCTCATATTAATCTCAAATAGATTCAAATAACTTGTTTATACAAAATGTATTAGATTGACGTATGTGAATAGTCAGTAATTCTAATAGAATGCAAGATATGTATCCTCATAATAATGATCATATCCCAAAAAACCATTGAAACAAAAAGCAAATCACATTCATCCTCCGCAACTATCTTAAAAAGATGGGCTCAGGGAACTCTGATTTAATTCTGAAGAAGGTGAAAAGTCGTTCCCAGGATGTGCTACATATCACAGCTTCCACAGCCCATCTTCTCTTTGATCTCCTGTAACCTCCCAATCACTATCTTCTACACCACCGCAGGTATGTTTGTAAGCCATGGAGAAATCTTCTCTTATACCCTGATTTTGCCCAACTTTACCTCTCTATCGGAGAAGCGAGCTATCTTATCCTTGTCAGGGGATGAAGTTTTGTAAAAACTTTTTCTTAAAAAAAATGGATTTTCTGATGAGTTCTGAACATGTATTGATCCCGCAACATAAATTCCTTGTTGAAGATATACTTTGATGCTTCAATTCATATTCAAGATTGTTTCATCAAGTGAAAAGTACAGGAAAATTTCAAATGATGAAATATGTGTTTTTTTTGCGTAAAAGAGATAAATATGTTCTTTCTCGCTGAATGTGATCTTTGTATAATGTTATTAAGATCAAAATCACCATTATTTTTTTCAAACCAAAGAATAGAAAATTTTATAAATTTTTTATAAAATATAGAAAAATACAAGTGAAAAAATATTATTTATAAATAGTATTCATGAATAGTAAATCGAATGAGCTAACTCGAGAAAAAGCAAAACTTGAGATTGGTTGGGCCTTAATTCAGCCTGATCAAGAGAAAAGAGATGAAGGGATAAACGAAAGAGAAGAGGCAAGAGAGAGGAGGGTTGCTTAATTGGGACATGGCCCAACCGCGTGGACATGATCCAACCGAGCTTCAACATTAACTTTTTTTAATTATTTTATTTTGGGTGTTATAGTCAGGAATTATAACTACCTCTGTTGGGTTTTACTTCATGGAAAATCTGGGTATTTTAATGAGACTGCTGTGTTAACTGTGGAAGTGGATATTGAATTTGATGCTTTCAAGTTGGTCAATTCATACTGGCTTGCTTAATGTATGCAAGAGCTCCAAAAAGTATTCACACATGAACTGATGCGGACTTGGATTTAGCTCCAAGTCTAACCAGTCTAAGGCTGTTAAAGTTTAACTAGACCATTTCTTCTCGTGAGCTGCAAGCAGAGGTATGCTCACTTGGGGTTGGCTCTGGAGAAGAATTGAAGCAGTTCCATTTCTCAATAACTCTAGAGATTGGATATGGTCTTCTTAGAAGCCATGGATTGTTTCGATATGAGTAGTCGAATAGCTTGCCTTTGATTTTGAAAATTACCACTTCAGATTAATCTCACTGTCTCGTGCTTTTGTGATGAAGATGAATTTCAAGGGACATGTATTGGGACTTCTGAAGACTATCTATTTCTGCTGTTTTGACAGAGAGTCAGAGACACTGCACCAGTTCCCCACTGAGCACTGACTAGACAGATTGGATGGTGATCAGATTAAGCCTTGGTAAATGCGGCACTGCTGCATCAGCAAAACGATTCCTCCACTTAGAATTCACGAAAGCAATAGCCAACTTTTCAACCACTTTGTCAGCAACACTACCACTGATCTTTGGCTCTGCAATAAACAGCATAATAACCCTTATTTATTTTAGTGAGAGCTCTAAAATCAAAACTAGCAGCCCCTCGTGTTCCAGTATAATATCCACAAACAAAAATAGATGGGAGAGAAAAATAGATGGAGAGAAATCGCAGCAAGAACGAAGAGTCGTCCGTCGTAGCATCAACCATACCCTCTAACTCACCAAACTAAGTAGCTTTTACAGGAGACTGAATCCTTTATCATTCCTTCACAGAAGAATCCATCTCTCTTGCTTGTGATTGTCCCTGATAAGCACACTAATCTGGTGGTTTGGTAGGGTGTGAAAAGCCTTCCTCTGCACTAATACGAGCCAAAGGATGCTTGGGAACCCTCTGAAGTAGAATTATCAATTCTCACGGTCCTGCCATTCTGATTACCGTCTCTGTCAGTAAGGCCTTCATCATAATACTCTAAATGAAGCCGACAAATTTGAACCCAACAACTCTGCTTTTTCAATAATAATGGCCTTATCGTGATCAAATTCGGGATGTTGTTGACGAGAAGTCAGGATATGATCTGAAACCTTCCAGAGGCCTCCAAAAAGCACTGTTCTATGATCATCCCAAGTAAAATAATTGGCCGAGTTAAAGTCAATGACCAAATTAACAAGCATGTCACCCTCCTTAACTTCAACGACCGAAGGCTAGCCAAAAGGAACTTGTACCCTATTTTTCCCCAGTAATTTTATGGTTAGGTTTTTTCCCACTTTTGACGAAGTCTCCTTTTTTCAGCTGCAGAGAGACGAATGGTGGGACAGTCATCATTATATCGTCATCTTGATCTTGATCTTCAACTAGCAAATCCTGTAGCCCCTCCATTCACATCTCCTACTCTCTACTTTTAGCTTTTTCATTATCACGTTCCTCCAAATCCTTCTCTTCAGCAGGTGTGGTTGAGCTTGCATGAAAAGCATTGTGTCCTCTCACTAGGCGAAGAAATTTTTTTTTCTTAGTTGACCTTTGGTTAAAAAACCACAAGTATGTCCATAACAAAAGTTTTCACATAATATCTGCTGTAATGAAACATCTTAATAAATTGATTACTTGTTCGTTTGTCCTCGAGTTCCTGAACTGTGTAGTTCATATGGAAGCAAGAGGAATAAAAAGGTAGCAATTCTAACTTCTGACCAAGAACAGAATACAAACAAATGAAAACTAATAATTTTAACGACCAATTTATACAAATGTATAGTTATGCTACAGGCACGGCTTTCATCTTGTAAACACATCTATTATAGACACGGCATAGATTTTCATGGAATAAGTTCTACAGGGGCTAGCATTATGGGGAAGCGAATTCTTATTGTACTATTATACAATGAGAAACTTGATTAATAGCTGAAACTCAAACAAGTAAACAGCATGCCTTTGCATCACAAGACAGCATGTCATAGGAGAGGTTGAAGTTCATTGCTCACATGGTGGGTTGAGAGATGGGGATGGAGAGACAGATCTCAGAATCAACTTTCTACCCCTCCTCCAAGTAGTTGATGGCCCAGAACCATGATGAGGAGGAGAAACCCTTTTGGAGTTTGGAGAGACTGACTTAACTCCACTTGTAGGCAAGCAATTTCTGTTCAGAATCTCAGGAGTTTCATCTTCTGGAATTACCTGAAGATGCTTCTCATATTTAGGCTGGTGATAGAAAAAATTTGTTCTAAATCTCTGGATAGGGCGCATTTTAGTTGATGGACCAACATCGCAAAGGGAAGACCCTGAGAGCTGCCCACTGGTGGGGATTTGTGGATGAACTGGAGACCTAAATATGTATAAACCTTAAATCTTTAAAACAGATAACATGATCAATACAAATGCTATGCTGAACCAATAGTACGTTAATGTATCTTACCTGGAATCTTTAGAAGGTACCAGAAGATCTGGATGATCTTCACCCTTTTCAATTATATCAAGGAAATTCAGGTTTGATATGTTCTCGTGGATTTTAGATTCCCCCCATTTGAGGTCATTTTCTTCCACTCCTATGTTAGTTCAAAATAATTAAAACAAATAAAATTACTAACCCTTTTATTAGAGAAAGCATGAGCAGTTTCCGAAGACTGCCATAGAAGAGATAATTTTGGAAAGTAAGATATCTAACTTTGAATAGGTAAATTCAATTACTAGGACCTGCATGGGAGCTTGGAGAATATGATACCACTTACCATTCTTGCAACCAAAGGTGTTTTTGCATCCTTCACATCTACAGTAGGAAGAGCAACCAACACCACCCTTTATACACAAGTAACGTTTTCTCCATGTTAGATGGGATTGCAAACATTGCAAATAGAAAGGGACAACTGGTAAATCAGGAAGCATTTGCAATATTAACCTGAAAGCATTCGCAGTATTTCTTTAGGCAACTTGACTTTTTACAGTTGCATCCTCTTTTATGCCTGGCTGAAGCTGGAGTTTTATTAGTCTCCTCCTGCATGAACAAAAATTGAGTGCACGTGGTTCGAAGGCAAAATACATCATGACCATTTGCAATAGCACCACAACCTTGAACATGCAATCCTCTTCATGAATTTTTGCAAAGCTTTGCATCATTGTGGTTTTTTAACTCACAAATGAAACAATGCTCTAGCAAAATTGAGCATTAGATGTGATCACTATGATGTCAGCAAAATTTATCATCTAATAACAATGTAGTTTAGGAGAATTTCCTACCCCAAATTCAGAAACAGAATCCGAGTTTCTAATCACTTTGGGAGCAAACGCAAGAGGGTTGCGAGACTCAATCTGTCTGCGAGTTTCCAGAACAGTATCTTCATGAGCAGGATTGTTAGAACACTCTAGACACGAACAAGGCTCAATACAGTAGAGACCAGCAGCAAAGCATTCGCAATAACTGTACCAAATAACACACTCTTGTAAAAATACGATAACCACAATATAAAAATGTAACTGACTCAATTCCTTGTGTGACTTGATATCTTTTTACACCGTCTAGAAAGTGTGCAGTTAAGCATGTCTAGGAGATGGAAAGTAAAGACATACTGATTTAATCCACTGTCATCAAGATTCTGAAACCCTGTTTTTCAAGACCAATTTACAATCATTGAGCATTGGAATCAAAGAGATTAGCCAGCCCTCAGATTCTGCCTAGTTTCATTCATATTTATTGCAATTATAGAATTTATCATGCCAAAGCAAATGAAAGAATTAAGATGATGAATTTGAGTGGTTAGGTCCTCCAAGAATCGCACACATAAACTACTGAACTGAACTTACAGCTTTAGGCATTTTGATCTCTTACAATTGCAGCGCTTGCATGATGATGATGATGCTCCAAGATATTCAAATTTTTGCCTGAAAACAATTCAAAATTTTTGGCTGGGGAATTTGATTACAGAGATTAAAATGTATTGACCCCTACATGTACCTCTTCATTTTGGGACTGCTTATGCCAAATTCTTCGGTCACAACCATTGATGTCTGAGGAACATTTTCCATAACCTTATCTTCGTTATCAAAAGGAACAGAATCTGTTTCCACAGTAATCAGAGCTAAGGATTTACTAACAGGATCTAAACCAGATGCCATGTGTGCAGGAGGGGAAGGAGGCTGGCTTATTTCTTGCTTTCCAGAAGCTAGAGTCTCAATCTTGACAGCATTACCACTGCTTGTAGCTGTAAGAGCATTCAAGTGCAAACCAATACCCCTTCCAGGTAATGCAGACAATGTTTTTCCTTTATCTGTCCTTGGAGTTGCATGCTTTTCTATGCTTGCACCCATGTGATCTGATTGTGATGAGGTTGAACTACTAGATTCAAATGCTAATTTCTTTTTATGAGCTCCCATCTCAAAAAGCAGGCACCTCCTTCGTATTTTATGCTGCTGCTAAAGATGGTCAAAAACCTTGTTTTAGTAATTAACCAAATGAAGCATTTATTAGTCTGTGGTATCATGGAATACCGGATTCCATGTAACCACAGTTAATAATAGAACAGAAAATCTACTTTTGCTGCTGACACCAGCATGATTAAATAACACAACCAATTGTCGCTTTTACATAATAAGGTCAACTTTGGGTCATTCTACAAATATCTGCAGAACTATGTGTTTGTTGAAGCTTTGGTTAGCGAGCAAGTAAACTTAGGCATCTTTGAATCTGTACCTAGGAATACACTTGCACCTTGGCCTAATTCATCTTTGAATCTGCACATGCCTTCTAGGATTTCCATTTTTAATTTACTCTTAACTGCTTAAATTTTATACTAAATGTCAATCCTGTATGGAAGAGCTCATGATGATATTCCAGTGAACCAGTGAAAACAGAAAGGAAAAGTTTTCTGACTAACACTATCTGCAGCACACATGCATTTTCTATCTTTCATGTGATCCTGCTGTACATGATCAAATCAGTCATCTGTGTCAACGTTCAGCAGGCATGAAAAGCCTTTTGTTTGATTCTACCAGTTATACCGGAGCCACAAACTTCTTACTGAACACATTGAATGGCACAACTTTTCATGAACATTTTACATGACATAATAGACAAACTTCCAGCTGCAATAAGAATCCTCTAACAAGTAGCTTGTTAATTACAATAATATATTTTGCAGGTTAGGGAAAACAAACCAAGGAGAATTTGAAATTCTCAGAAAAATAATCGGCACCAATGCCTATATATGTATTATGACTTATTTATCACCAAAACAGAAAAGTTTGCAATTCTCAATAAACAAAAATAAAATAGTAAGGTTCGCGTATGGTGTCCACTCCAAATTGAGACACAACAATGCTGCATGTAGCATCCTGCTTGCCTCTAACAATTAATGGCAACACTGCCATAAAGACTGTGATCTTATGAAGTACAATTGAATGATGATAATCCAAGGTTGGTGATATTTGTGAGAGTGACATTATACCATGAGTACATTGAGGTTGAGAGTCTAGGACCTTAGGTGATTTGAAAAGTATGGACATGCATTATCAAGATAACTGATACATAGTTTAAGAATGAAAGGCTTTCAGGAAGTGAACAAAATGATTACTCAGTTATGTCAGTCAATTTCTAGGTTACTCACAGAACAGACCAGTAGAAGATGTTTACTTAATACCGGGCAACAACCATCAGAACATAGGTATATGCCAGTAGTCTTAATGCTTAAGTTTTTACCTTGCTGCTGGACTGGTAGCTTTTCCCCCTGATATCCACTTTTGCAGCCGCATCATTGACTATTGGTTTATCTGGTAAAGTTCCAGAGAATACAGATGGTGTCTGATCTGCTTCATTCTGTTCCCCAGATTCTACTGGCTGAATTCCTGGCTCTCCAATTTCCCTTTGCTGGGAAGAACCTGCATAATAGGAAGTCTCTGAATCTTCGCTGTTGTCCTGTGGGGCCTGTAGGACATTTGAGATAAAAGATATGGTCCCAGGATCCACCATTTTCTGCTTCTCAGCTGATTCCTCATCAATGGATGGCTCCAAGGTCAAGATATCAGCTACATCGGAAATCAGAGCCACCCAATCACATCCTGCTTCATCTTCATTCTGCCCAGTTCGGCCAATTTTACACAAGTCTTTTTCACTTTTACGCAAACAATATCTGTCATTTGGATCGCCTGCCATCTGAGGCTCAATAATTGCTTTGAGAGGCACCATGATAATGTTATCATCTGGGCTAGCACAATAATATTTCAAAGTGTCTGGCTCCTCAATTGCTAATTCCATGTGCTCACCAGGCAGCTTAGTAATAACCCCTTTACTTGAATTTGCAGGAGTGGAGCATTCTGAATGTTCAACACTCAAACCAGTCAATTGAGCAGCCTCAAAAACCCCTATACTTGTGTCATTTTCTTCTTTACTTTGAAGGAGCTCGGGTTTTGAAGGCTCTGGGAATTGATCCCTGACACAGGACACAACACTAAGTTAAACTCGTGTGTTTTCAACAACAATTGATATTTATCTGATCCTGATTCGGTTGAACAAAGCCAGACAATCAATTTTACCTTCTCATAAATGATCTAGCATCACTTTGGGAACTAAGCTGAGGTGAAGCAAATACAGATAGAGGGGATGCAAAAGACGGAAAGTTGAACGCTTGACCATTGTGCATGGACTTGACTAACTCAATTGGTGAGAGATTGTTGATGTAATTAAACACAGGAGAATCCTGCAAGGTTACCAAATCATTACTTAAGTAGCAGCCTTAACACCCGGCTATTGATGAATGATCAAGATCTAAGACAAGAAAAGGAAATTACAATTTCCAACTAATCAAAAAGACAAAATCTAGAATCGTAAAATTTGCATACTGACCAAACCGTGGAAAAAATATGCAAAGGTTAAATCTTTCATTTTTCTTTTCCCACTTCTCTTCTTCTTATAATTCAGTTGGAACCCAAAATCGCGATCTCCATTCTCATAAATTGGTAAAAAATAATACCAATATCCTTCAAGTTAACATATATAAACAAAAACTCCAAAAACCCAATTACATTAACAGTGGAAAAAAAACAATGAAGGACCCAAACCCACAAAAATTCAAAGCAGTTCACACAAGTATACGCGGACACAAACATAAAGCACCATACAAACCTCAGGAACAGCAAAAAAGCAACCAAAATCTCAATTTTTGAGCAAAACAACCCAAAACCCAGCTAAAGCCTGGAGAAAAACACAAAAAAAAAAAAACAACAACCCATGATTCTACCCTCGCTCTGAGAAAGAAGAAACACCCAAAATACCAAAACATAAAAAGTCACATAGAATTAAACATGTAATACAAAAAAGAAATGAAAAAATAAAGAGGGTTAGAGAAAGCAGACCTCAAATTGAGAGAAGGGGTTAGTAGCGGGGATTTGGTTCTTATTGGGTGTGTTTAGGTCCATTAGAACTTCAATACACTTCTCTTCTACCTCTAAAAGATCCTCAGTTACGAAGCTGAAAACACCCACCTCCTTTCTCTCTCCAAAACGTTTCTTATCGTTGTTCGGGTGTGTCAGTCTGAAGAGAGAAGATATGAACAGAGAGAGAAGGTTAAGAGGGGCGGGAAGGCGGGAAGAAAGCAGATTTTGTATGTTTTGATTAAATTTTGGGCCACAACCCTAAACCCATTTTGTTTGCTTGCTTGCTTGCCAGTAACCTTTTCATCCATCTCAAATATTACTAGACTTGCACGCACTACGCCCGGGCCACTCAATATTTTTTTTTTTTTAATGTATCTCATGGATGTTTAGATAACTGTAATACTTATTGAAAAAGAAAAGAAAAACACGATGCTCGAGTTATTAATTTGATTAAATCTAATAAAATTTAATAATTTAATTTAAAATATAGGCAATAATAATGGAAGAACAGTACAAAAAACAAATGGTAAAACAAGAAACATAAAAAATTAGAAAAATATAATTTAATCTCTAATAAATAAATATTGAAAGATAAAACCTAAAATTAAACATTAACTTTAAAAAATATTAAATGAAAAAATAAGTCCTGACTGAACTCTCTAAATTTAGATTAATTTTAAAAATTTATAATTTGTGAGATTCTAAAAACTAAAAAATCAAGTAAAAAAATTAATTTAAAAAAAAACTTTGCAAAGGAAAAACAACAACAACTAAAAAAGCAAGAATGAAATCTAATATGAAAAAAAATGACGGGTAAAATTAAAAAAATCAAAACAAAAAATTATTTTAGATTCAATAAATAACAATTAAAAGAATATAAATGTAATCTGACAAATTAAAAAAAAATATTTTAATTTCATAAATTATTTTAGATAAAATAGAGAATAACAAAAACACATGAACTAGATCAAAATAAAAAAATTAATGGTTGATTTAAAAAATTACAGGAATGCATAAAAATAAATAAATAGAGAAAAAGAAAAAAAAAATAATAACTGTCGGTGACAAACCAGCAAACTCATATATACATTCACCATATTTTTTACAAGGAACATGTCGAGATATATTGAAAGCAACCTCAGAATGATAATTTTAGCCTCTAAAATTAATTGTAAACACCATCCTGAGACAACGAAGCGATTGAGGCATGCCCAACACAAGTATATTTTTTTAATTTTTTATTTATTAAAATACTTAAATGATTCAGTAAAAAAAAATAACAATAAAATAACAAAAAATACCCTGTAACCTAATGGTTAAATTATTTGACATTAAAAGCACTGAGTTCCTTTTATTGTGCAACAAATTTAAAATTACAAAAAGATCCTCCATTGTGAGTTAATTTTGTTTTCATTTCGATGATAGATAGGTTTACCGTGTATTTTTTTCTATAAAAAAAATACAAAAATAATCTACGGTAAAAGCTAAAAATCGATTTTTTTAAGGGCAGTGATGTAAATTTATTGTAAAAGTAAAATGCAAAATGCCCGTCTTGCCCCCAATTAATTTTAGAACACCATAATTATCACAGTGTAAAGAGTATTTTACCCCTAAACAGCTGAGAGGTTTTTTTAAGGCCAGGAAAGAGAGAACATGATTCTCGTCCATGATGAACTGTTTCTAAGTGAACAATGTGTTCTCCTTCGTTTTTTTTTTAATATGATGCAGGTTGTCCAAATCCCATGCAATATGATTAAATTTAGTGGATTTATTATAGGTTATCTTGAGTTCTAGATTTTTTTTATTTCAATAATAATATAATTTGAATCATAATATCGCGGACCTAATTCATTATATTCTAATAATTTTAAATTGAAAATTAAATATTTTTTTTTTTAAATTCCAATTATTATAAAGAATTAATATATAAAAAAAAATTTCCAATTATTATAAAGAATTAATATATAATTTAGATAACTGTAATACTTATTGAAAAAGAAAAGAAAAACACGATGCTCGAGTTATTAATTTGATTAAATCTAATAAAATTTAATAATTTAATTTAAAATATAGGCAATAATAATGGAAGAACAGTACAAAAAACAAATGGTAAAACAAGAAACATAAAAAATTAGAAAAATATAATTTAATCTCTAATAAATAAATATTGAAAGATAAAACCTAAAATTAAACATTAACTTTAAAAAATATTAAATGAAAAAATAAGTCCTGACTGAACTCTCTAAATTTAGATTAATTTTAAAAATTTATAATTTGTGAGATTCTAAAAACTAAAAAATCAAGTAAAAAAATTAATTTAAAAAAAAACTTTGCAAAGGAAAAACAACAACAACTAAAAAAGCAAGAATGAAATCTAATATGAAAAAAAATGACGGGTAAAATTAAAAAAATCAAAACAAAAAATTATTTTAGATTCAATAAATAACAATTAAAAGAATATAAATGTAATCTGACAAATTAAAAAAAAATATTTTAATTTCATAAATTATTTTAGATAAAATAGAGAATAACAAAAACACATGAACTAGATCAAAATAAAAAAATTAATGGTTGATTTAAAAAATTACAGGAATGCATAAAAATAAATAAATAGAGAAAAAGAAAAAAAAAATAATAACTGTCGGTGACAAACCAGCAAACTCATATATACATTCACCATATTTTTTACAAGGAACATGTCGAGATATATTGAAAGCAACCTCAGAATGATAATTTTAGCCTCTAAAATTAATTGTAAACACCATCCTGAGACAACGAAGCGATTGAGGCATGCCCAACACAAGTATATTTTTTTAATTTTTTATTTATTAAAATACTTAAATGATTCAGTAAAAAAAAATAACAATAAAATAACAAAAAATACCCTGTAACCTAATGGTTAAATTATTTGACATTAAAAGCACTGAGTTCCTTTTATTGTGCAACAAATTTAAAATTACAAAAAGATCCTCCATTGTGAGTTAATTTTGTTTTCATTTCGATGATAGATAGGTTTACCGTGTATTTTTTTCTATAAAAAAAATACAAAAATAATCTACGGTAAAAGCTAAAAATCGATTTTTTTAAGGGCAGTGATGTAATTTTATTGTAAAAGTAAAATGCAAAATGCCCGTCTTGCCCCCAATTAATTTTAGAACACCATAATTATCACAGTGTAAAGAGTATTTTACCCCTAAACAGCTGAGAGGTTTTTTTAAGGCCAGGAAAGAGAGAACATGATTCTCGTCCATGATGAACTGTTTCTAAGTGAACAATGTGTTCTCCTTCGTTTTTTTTTTAATATGATGCAGGTTGTCCAAATCCCATGCAATATGATTAAATTTAGTGGATTTATTATAGGTTATCTTGAGTTCTAGATTTTTTTTATTTCAATAATAATATAATTTGAATCATAATATCGCGGACCTAATTCATTATATTCTAATAATTTTAAATTGAAAATTAAATATTTTTTTTTTTAAATTCCAATTATTATAAAGAATTAATATATAAAAAACAATCATGACTAAGTTTGAGAGTTTTTTTATCCTAAAACTCGAATCGCAGCCAAGATGAACAATTTAAATTTTGAATTTAAAAATAAATCTCTAAAAAAGCTTCTTTTTTATTTGGATGAAATATCTAGAGTGTTATTGTTTTGAAAAACAAAATAGTTTTTTATAATCCGAACCAATTCAAACCTAAGATTAGCAAGTTATCAAGAAAACTCACTTAACAAAATCAAGTTGCTGAGCACTAAATTGATATGTAAAGCTGACCTGGGTCTCATAGCACACAAGCATTGTGGGGGATGTGAGTTACAGGGTTTTTTTTTTTACCTTAACATAGTTTCAAAAATAAAAAAAATAACATAGTTAAAAAATATCTAGAAAAGTAAAATAATTTGATGAGTTGCATGTGTTACGTGTAACTTTCTCAAATTATTACATCACTTGTCAGACATAATTACGATGATAAATAAAAAAAAATTGCAACAAAAAAAAAACTCTGAAAATATACTAAAACTTTGATGATAATACCATTTGTATTCAAAAAAAATCTCGATAAGATAAATCTTGGATTATTACATCACCTGTCAAATATAACTATAATGATAAATGAGAGAAAGAAAAGCTAACAAAAAAAAACCCTAAAAATATACAAAAACTTTGATGATAATACCATTTGTATTGTAAAATAGACCTTGATGAGATGAATATTAAATTATTATATTACCTGTCAAGCATAACTATGATGACAAATGAAAAAAAGAAAAGTCAACAAAAAAATACCCTAGATATATACCAAAACTTGAATGATGATACTACTTGTATTATAAAAAAAAATCTTGATGGGATGAACCCAATAATACTAGAAAAGATCACTAGTAATGATTAGAATGAATTATACAAGTCATTAAAAAGCATGGTTATTAGACCCAATCAAGTGGCTGTCTTGTGTCATGCTGAAAAAATGAAAACAAAATTTTCAAGGTTTTAATATTCCATGTGGAAAAAGTTAATTAATAATTTTTCGTGAATGTAAGTTATGTATGTTGTAAAAATTAGTTTAAAATAATTTTGTTTAAAATTAAAAAGATTTTATTTTATCATTTTTAAGTTAAAGTATCTGAACAAAAAATTTTCTTATTCCACGTTGAAAAAAAACAACTTTCTTCTTATGAATATAAGGTATATATATTAATGCGTTTCTAATCTCATACTAGAAAAATTAAACCTTTTCTTTTAGTATTTGTATAGTAAAATTTGATATGAGTTAGTAATCAACAAGGAAAAGGTTTTAGACTCGTGGCCATAAGATTAAACTGAATAAGATAGCTTTTTTTTATATATTATATAATTGAACGTTATTTTAAAAAATAAAAAATAGTTATTTTTAATAATATTTTATTCTTTTTGATTTTATTCAATCATTTTATATGTTTATCTATTTTTAGTATCGTATACTTAAATAAAAAATTAATTTCAATAAATAAATTTATTAAATATATTAGTATAAACAATCGTGTTATGAAATTAAATATCTCCATTTATATTTATCCCTTAACTTTTTTAGATATGTATTTAATCATTGTCGATAAATTTTATTTATTTATTAACATAAATTACTTGCAAAATCTTTTTTATTTACACTTGACACTGTTTATGAAAAAAAATCAAGAAAACCTCAAAATTTCACCTTTATTTCGTTCAAATAAAAAAATACGTAACCCGAATTACCAGTCAAATAAATAGATTTTTTATTGAATTTATTTTAATTTTTCTTAAAAGATTTGTTCGAACTCTTAGATTTATTGAAAAACAAAAAAACACTAATGACAGTCGAGTCAAGGACAGGCTACTTTTTGTCGCGCAGGTAAATGACGGAGCGTTTTTATTGGATGACTTCTTGGATTCTGTGAGGATTCGGACACCAAATATAAAGCTTTTAACATAGACCGCATGCCTGCCACTATTTAAACTCGGCCAATCATAATTTTGTTTTTATTTCTATAAAAATTAAAACAATATTATTTTAAATTAAAAAAATTTAATCACAGATTTATTTATTTATTCAAATTAAATTATTTTTGAATTAATCACAGATTTATTTATTCAAATTAAATTATTTTTGAATTTATTTTTTATTTATTTTAAAATCTAAATTCAAATTAAAAGGCAAATCACGAGCGAGTAAATCCGCAGGCAAAATTAAAAGCTAGATTTATTGGGTAATTAAACTTGGACGGTAAATAAAAAGGAACTTTTGAATAGGTTGAAAAGATGATGTCAGTCTAGTCACAAGGTGCAACCTTAAATCCAGACAAAAATCTAGCTCTAGACTAGGACTTAGGCCGGTTTGTTTCATACATGCTCGTTAAAATCACTCACCTTTTTTAAAAGTTCATACATGCAAATTACTTTTTAGTAAAAAGAAAAAATTAATAATAATTTTTAGAAAATAATTTATTTAAGAATTTATTTATTAAATCAACTTTAGATTTTAATCTTTTCACTGCTATATATATTTTATTTTAATTTTTTTAAATTTTACTCTTTTAAATTTAATTTTTATATCAATTTTTTTAATTGAATTTTTTATCAATGAAATGTGATTCTTATTTTTTATTACTATTTATTTCAATGAAACGTGATTCTTATTTTTTATTACTATTTATTTTATTTTAAATAATTAATTAAATCATATATTTTTTTTTAATTTAATTATCTTTCAACTTTTTTATCTGACATATTTAACCTTCATTATTTTAATTTTTATTTATTTTATTTAAAATAATTTATGAAATTATATATTATTTTTTAACTCCATGCTCCTTCAATATTTTTAATTTATCAAATTTCATCTTTATTATTTTAACAAACTTAAAAAATAAAAATATTAAAACATTATTTTTCAATTCACTTTTCCTGGCATAGCTAAACACTAAAAATATTTTTTAATTAATTTTTTATGATAATATCAAATATTAAGAAATAATTTATTTTTCAAAAATTTACTTTACATGAAAATTATTTTTTAAAAGAAAAATAATTTCCAGTAAATAAATGTATCATAATTGGATTAAGACTTTCTTTTTTGTCTTGACACAATTGGAATGGCCTCACAGACAGGAATCACCATGCCGACCACCTCCATCACAAGCTTGACCTCTGTTCACATGCTCATGTATCTGCACTGTTTTGTTCTGGAGCAGAAAATTAAAGAGGTTGGATTTATGTTAGGTACATATCTGAACACAGGACCAGCTCAAGTTGTGTCTGGTGCTGTAGGCTGTAACCAAGCATATACTCTTGTCATGTATATCCACTGAGGCATCGAACGAAGAATCACGCCATGCAAGATTTCAATTTACAACCTGAGCTTTCAAAATTTCAATCCCCCAAGAATGAAGTGAAGAGAATTACAGCAAGCTTTCATGCCTGCAATGTCTAAACATGCCAGCTAGAAACTTAAATTGAGACTGGACATGAAGATTAGCTAGAGGTTTGAATCATTAAGTATATGAGCATGCCTTGCAGCCAGTCACCTGAACTGGACTAAAATGAGCTTCTAGGTGATGTTCCAGGCAACACGCAGTCTTGAACTTGTGATGAAATTGCGTTCCAGATTCTGCATATCAGCTTCACAATCAATCAAACAGAAAATAAATTAAACAACTTGTAGGTGTAGAGGGATTTATAATATTAAAAGATGGTATTTGAGATTTAATATTTCAATAAGATTAATTTGTTATACAAAAAAAATGTATTATTTTCTTCTTTTCTGTTCTCATTCCTTTAGATGTTTAGAGGAATTAGTTATATTTTAAAGATATTATTTTTATATAATATAAATAAAAATTTTAAAAACAGTATTTTCATGTCTGCAAGGAAACTCTATTTGTTTTCATCGTAAATAATTTCTGAAACACAACTAACTTCGGATGGCACAACCACCACCACAGAACACAATATAATGACAAAACTCTGATCAATTTAGTGATATGACTTCCATCATACTTCACATCTTACATGTTATAGATCTAAAACCAAACAGAGAAATGCTTCAACGTGTCGAAAGGTCACCTGTAGCATGTCACAAGACGGAACGAATTTTCAAAAGATCACCACACATCCATTGCATCACCCAGCTAAGGTGAATACATAAGAATGAATGTTGGAGTGATTAAGCTCTGATACACTCCGCTGAAATCCTGCAGAGCAATAACCTCCTGCAAGTCTTTGACACGAGCAATTATAACTGTTTTTCGTCCTTTAAACATGAAAGAGCACAGAAGACAGTTGAGCAAGATGGAGAGAGACGCATGTTATTTTGTCTCCCCAGTGTTTAAGAACCAGCTGTGAAAGAGAAAGGAAGGGAACTGGAGCGCCACTGAAACAGTAAACATAATAATAAAGGTGCAAATAACGAAAACACAGTTGCCCTACCAACCAACCAAAGACACAAAAGCCGGCAATTCAATAAAAAAGATGACAGGAATGGTGCAGCTAATTATATTCATAGTAGCCCCAAACTGGGAAGAATAGAAGCTCCACACAAGAAGTTAAAAGCCAGTAACTCCATATGCTCAAACAGGGCATTCATAGAAAACCAAACCCGAAAGAAAATTACGAGTCCCTCCCATCCAACGACAGTGTTTCTCACTGTCCTGTGGCCAAACTTGAAAGTTACCTGCTAAAGTTTTTTCCCTGCATGTAAATCGATACAGATGAATTGATAAAGGGGTAGCACAATTAATTTCAACGGAGTCTGGAACTCGAATTTTCAAGCAAAGAATTCTAATACTCTTTAAGTTCAACAATTACCCTCCTTTACCCTGAGTAAGCCTTTCTGACGAGGTTCCCGAAAAACCTCACTAGATTTGAGCCTTTTCAATGCTGATGAATTGGATTGGAAGATTAAAATTGTTGGAACACCTGCAAAACAAGTTTTCTATTATGCTTAAAGACCGTCGGATGCTTAAATTAACACTGTTGTAAGAAGAATGAAGTTTCAAAGATGGTGTTGTGAGTGCTCGCAGAGAAGATGAAAGTGATGGTACGAGGTTGAAGTAGAGAATATAAGCTCCAAGATTAAAGCCTGCTCCGAGATAAAACCCATTAGGCACCGAATGGCTCATGGATGTTTTTATATTCACGAGTCACACAAACTTGCATAGAGATAAGTTAGTAGTTCACTATTGAATAAAAAGTATAACATGACGAAGATCATCCTTTGAGTATAGGCAAGCGATTACATCATTTTGTGAACTCCATTATAGAAGGATGCATGAGCATTTAATGCATGTATGTTTTGTCTCTACAGTTGGTGGCGAGTGGAACAAGGGTAGCACACCTAGGATATAAGCCTTGAACGGGGTGCATGGCCAGTCCATCGAAGGGGATGTGAAGTTAGTCTGGGGAATGCTTGGCCAATCCATTGAGGGGGAAGCAAATTCAGTTCGGAGGGACATTTGACCAGTCCGTTGAAAGGGAAGCAAGGTCAGTCTGGGGAAATGCTTGGCTAGTCCACCGTAGAGGGATGTGAAGTCAGCTCTGGGAGACATGTGGCCGGTTCACTAAGGAGGGGGGCCGAGCCACAGGTCCACCCAGAAGGGGAATGAGCGGCCAGTCCCAGTGCCGGGGGATGCATGGCTGATCTGTTAGAGAAGATAAGTGGTCTTCAGACGCTTGAGTCCAATCTAGCGAGCTATGTGGAGGAACCCAAATCTTATCCCTGTCACTTTCCGACCACTATCCACTGCCATAGGTAGAATAGTCGTTCAGAAGATTCGCAATGGATTTCTCTGGCCAGCCCACGCAAGTTTTGAGCTTTTGACGATTGCAATTAGATGTTCTATGCTCATAATAAAAATTCCAAGCAAAATTATATAGAATGAGTAAGCTGTGTTGTCATCAAAAGTAGGCATTTGATTCAGTACAAACTACTAACCCACTCGTATGATCATCAATTTACGCTGTTTCACTTGAGGTTTCACTAGCAAACACGACTAAAGGCTCAAGCACAGGCAGGAAAGGATCAACTTTAAACAGCAACCACCACGACTGTACTGTGCATGAAAAAAAGTGTTTGATACCATTAGTGCTCCATAGCCAATGTTCTGCTTCGCTACCCTTAAAAGCAGGGATTAAGAAACAGCATGACTCGAGTTAAAACTCCCCTACCTTGTAGCACAGTGTCCTCTTTGCGTTGTAGAAAACAAGCCGACTGACATGAACAACAAACTTACCAAACATAAACTAACCTTGTACTTTGACTCCCCGAGTTAGATGAAATAAACAGGACACCTGCATCACATGGAGATCGATTCCAGCTAATGGTGAGTCACCCAGATATAATCTTGGCATCGCCCGGAACAACTTTTGGAAAAGGAAGCACATACAGTTCAGATATTCTATACCACGAATTCATGATGAGGAATTCAACGAGAAAAGTCACTGCAGCAGGATATGCTAAAAGCTGCATGTGGTCTCACAAATTCAGGCCACAAAAAAGGCTACATTGAAGATGAATATTTCCTTGATATTGGATTTCTAATAGGAAACATAAAAATGAATATGAGAAATACATCATTAAGGATGCACAGGTAACTGAAAACACAATTCTATCTGATCCATTCAATAGCTGAAATTGTCAACTGAAAAAAAAAGGCGAAGTAAAAAACAAATGGATCTGTTTAATAAAATTAAGTGTAACCAATCACATGATTAATAAATATCACAACTCACTAATGTTTTTGTTAGCACTCAAAGAAGATTTCTGAGTCTCTCTATTCATGCTTCCAAGCATACAAAATCAATGAAAAACCAAGATTTTGTGATTTGGAATCCAGAAATCTCTGGGAGAAGGACCACGGGAACACATTTGGATCTGAAAGTGGTTGGCTAGACCATAACTTCTCGGCTGACGTGCAGGTCTTGAACATAAAAACAGCATTTCCAACTGATGCACCAAAGAGCCAACTATGTACATCCCAGAACACTTCAATTGCTAGCCCGTCAACCAAAATGGTGTGGTTCCCCCGGAACTTCCATCGGAGTCGCTTCACCTGCATCACGGTCTTGCAGTCCACACGAACCAAAAGACACGGATCACTGACACCAACTGTGTCGCATTCAATCACGAGATCATGGATATGACCATTGTCACAAAACCGAGCCTTGGTACAGAACACTTTCTTTCCAAAGACATGCTCTCTCTTAGCAACAAAAACAGCATTGGAAGGAACAGGAGTGGCACCAGTTTTCTTGAAAGCTTCTTTTCTCATATCCCCGAGAATGAGAACCATTTGCCTATCGACAACAACAGCAACATAAAAGCCCTCAAATGGTTCAGGCCCAGATCCAAATTTAGCCGATGAAAGGTCCCAGTAGATGTCAATTTTACAAGAATATGCTTCTAAGCACTTAGACCCTTTTCTTTTTGAGAACAACCACGGTTTAATATCAACCTTGCATAAACACTGATTTGCAGAATCATCAATCCCTACACTCAGGCCTTGACCCATCAAATTCTTACTCCACGTTATAGTGATCAAGCAAGATCGGCCTCGAATTCGACATTGATACACACAGGTAACCAAATTCTGTGCATTTTTACTAGTATTTGAAGACGAAGAATCAGCCACTTGAACCCCATTTTCACCAAAACAAGATGGGAAATCTCTCATTTTAACACCAAAGAACAGAACTTTACTACTCCAAAACTCTCTCTAGGACTTCTCGCAAATACTTGCTCCAGAATTTCGCAGCTAAAATGAACACAACACATAAAAACTCAGAAACAGAAAATAAAAAAACAAAACCACAAGTTGACAAAAGAAGACGCTCTTACCTCAAAAACGTATCAGAAATGCTTCAAAAACATCTAATCAAGACTTGATTTTGATCTGGACAAGGTCTGGTTTGATGCATTTCTGCAGGAAGCCATTAAAGAAAAAAGCTTAAAGAAAGCCAGAGAAACTGCTAGCACATCCAAACTGAAGACAAAAACGAGGAATGATGGTGAGTTCTGGTAATAAAGTAACTACTGAGAGAAGCAGACAGAAAGTAGACTTATTTCACTGTCAATGCCATCTCTAACAATTTATAATCAAAATGAAAAATATTTGAAATTTTTATTACAACAAATAAAAAAGGAATACCAGATTAACAAACATGTATACCTCAGGAAAGTGACAGCTGAAATAACCAAGGGAAAAAAAAAAGGGAAACTTTACTGACAAAGCAACTGTGTATTGCTGGAAAGGCTGGTCTTTGAAGAGTACTCTACATAGAGAATTTTTTTATTTTAAAAAAGAGCATCTCTCTTTTCTTTTTCTCTCTATGAATGGATGTGTCTTTCAGTCTCTCTCTCATGACCTTCCCTTTTAACCTGACATGTCCGCATGTAAACGAGGGCTGAGTTGAAAGCTTCAGTTTCATGGAAGGGACTCTCAATCTGAAGAAATTTTTAGGCTTCAATTTCTGCATGTAATTAAGGATTATTAAGGAAGAGATTGAGAGGCCAAGAAATATTTTTTTAGGAGAGAAACGGTTCTTTAATGAGGGGTCCAACTTCTTATAAAGTTAATGCAAGCACGATGTCACATTTAATTGAGTTTTCTTTATAAAACACCCACAGTTCGTTGTGAAATAAAGATCTCACTAAACCAATCTTCTCTCTCTTTTTAATCCATGCTGTTAGATCTTGAATTTCATAATGGACACCTGCAGATTTTGTTGATGAAACTCACACAAATTGGCATGGCCAACTTGAGATTTAATTCTAAGAAAGTTGATGAGCAAAAATAATGTTCGAGGACCGACAAGACAGTGAGAATACAAAGGATGGACATTGCAGGATGTGGTCAGCATGTTAATGTTGTTGAAACAGCGGGGATCTTCCAAGCCAGAAGTGACTTGACCAGAAACACTTGATTTCTTTTGTTAGGTGCCCACTCATAATTGGCATGCCAGCCTCATCATGTATCTCACTGGATCTCTCTCTCTATATTTTCTCTGTTAATGGGCACTGGATGTTTCCTGTCCTGGAATCTGTATGAGTTGGTAATCTGGAGGCAGATTCGATTTGATTATAAAGAACGGGCGTGATTTCTCTTTGCCTTTTTTATTTTTTATTTTTTTTGTGATCGTGAGAAATGGTTGGCTAAATATTTGCCAAATATATTGCCCTTTATTCTATTTTTAATCATATTTGTTAAGTCTGGCTTGATTCGGTAAATTCACTCCAACAATTTATAATTTAAAACTTGACATAAATTTGATTTTAAATGAAATTAAAAAAGATATGAATTTGATAAAATCTATTGATATAATTAAATTAAATTAACATTTAAAAATTTAAAATGATATAATTTTAATAAAAAATAATTGATTGGTTAACTTGCACGTGAGTTAAATCAATAACCCATTAATTTTACTTTTTTATGATCAATTAACAAATGGGATCTAACTATCATATTTCTAATGAATTCTTTATTTTAATTGATGGATACTTCTGTAATCTCTTTCTCCTTTCTAATAAAAACAAAATTTTATATCAAATTTAAATAGGAAAAATATTAATGTATCAAAATTATATATTTTATGTTATTTTTAAAATTTAAAAACTAAAGTGCATCTTTCCCAAAACTTCTAACACATCATACATTTTTTATGTCCTTTTCATTTTAGTCTTTCATCTTCTAATTTCATTACAGACTAAGAAATTATAACAACTGGCCATTAATTAAAATCAAATCATGTAAAATAAAACTTTGAGGGCCAAAATAAATTCTAAAAAAATATATAGTGCCATCCACACTATCTTGTATATAGATAAACAGTACTGACTTTACAGGTAAAATCCTACACGTTTTAGTTTTTTTGTATAGTTTAAAACTGGCCTCGTAAAAATCATATATCCCAAAGGTCGGCAAGGATGTCTCCGTCCATCGTGCCTCCTTAATGGTCCACAAAAAATTACAAATTTCAAGCCACCGGAAAGAGCAAGCATTCAACTTGGACTCATTATCGTAGTTTGAAAATTGATGGGTTGGAAGGGTTGGACACCCACCTCAACATTTCATTTTCATGGGTTGAATGCATCTTATTATGTAATAGTCAGTGAAAAAACAGATGAATTCAATAATCAACCAATATATAAATACATATTTTTCATTAAAAAAAAACTACAAATGAACCTTGCCGCAAAGTTATTGGCTAGGCTTGACTTATAGGTTAAATGGGTTGGCTTGATAATTTTAAAATGATATTATTTTAAAAAAAATTATTTTTTAAAATGAAATGATATAATTTAAATTTTTCATTAAAAAATCAAATTTAATTAAATCTACTATTTCAGATAACAAATTTATTTATGATATTAGTTTGAGTTTAAGAGTTTGTTTGAAAGTAGAGTTGATGTTATATTTTAAAGTGTTTTTTATTTAAAAATATATTAAAATAATATTTTTTATTTTTAAAATTTATTTCTATCATCAAATATTTTAAATAAATAAATAAATGAATTCAAAGTTTTCACAAAATAGTGCCTTGATGCCAATGCACATGAAGCTAATCAACTTTTTTACCGTAAATTATTCTTTTACCTTAGAAAAATGGAGGGTGTGGGGCCACAAGCAGGGAGAGCATGTAAATGACTAAAAAAGACAAAGACAAGATCAAAATTGTGTTACTGACTTTGTTTGCTATCGCTTTATGAACCGATGGAGACGTGGTGTTCACGGGCACCCTATTCGGCCCATTCATTTCCTGGGATTTTATTGTAAAATCCTTATGATTTTTTTATTTTATTTTAAGATATACAAAAATTAGTTTAAGATATTTATTTCATTATAAAAATTAATACAAATTATTCGTGATAATCTCAATATTTTAAAGTTTATTCAATCATTTACTTTATCTCTTAACAGGAAAAAACAATTCTAAACACATCATGATTTAAAAAAAAAATTAAATATATTTTTTTTACAAAATAAATATTATTTTTTATTTAAGAAAAAACCAAGACCATTAATACATCCATTTCATATTGTATCTAGATAGAAATGATAATATCTTACCTAAAATTATAATCAAATTTCAAAACGAATAATGAAAAATTAATAGTTTGTTTTTGTATTTGGAATTATATTTTGGTGAATTTTAAAAATATATATGATTTGAAAGAGCATTAAATTAATACTTTTTTAGTGTTTTTTGATAACTTTAATGTGTTAATATTAAAAATAAAAAACATAAAAAAATTATTTTTAATATATTTTCAAGAAAAAAAACACTTTTACAATATACTATACACCACAATATCTCAATACACCTTTTTTTTTTCATCTAAACTTTTGATAAAAAACACTTTTAAAAAACATATTACACCTCAATAACACCTCAATAACAAACATGAAAAGCTCAATCCAACAATTTGTTTTTCACCCAAAATTCCTTGCCATTGATGATGAAGCTAGTCACAATCCAGGATCCTAGGTGCTGTATGCTTGGCTCCAGGTCTCAACAAATAAACAAGCAAGAAAGAAACTCACCTCCTCGTCAAGCCATCATGTGCTCCTACTTTAAACATATGTAGGTACAATTGCCCCCCCATTATCAACATAATGTTTCTACACTTTTTAGGGTAAAGTCTATATAACAATGGCGCCTTGGTCGGACCAACTAATTAACGTTGGAAGAAAATAATTTGATGAACTATTCAACTACTTTATGGATTCTTACACACATCATTGAGCAAATCTTGCATCGATTATGCTTTACGTGTAATCTCCACTTTGGAGTTATCTAGCCAATCTGTCCCTGCTTGCTAGGGACCATCTCTAGCATCTTTTAGCCTAAGTTACAAGCAAAATTGACAATCGAAAAGGCCATGATATTATTACTTCGTAAAGTTTGTAGCATGGAGCACAGATGACATGAACAGGAAGAAATACATTCATATATACGTAGGAGGCAGTGGGTAGTTGAGGGAGGGAGGGAGGCAGGCAGGTGGAGGTGAGGACAAAATAAAGGTTAAAATGGCAGAAGATACATCCATGCGAGACAATGGGAAAGAAAAGGAGTAACGAAGGGCAAGGTGCTCTGTGAACCTTTTGCCTTTGTTGCTCGCTTGCTACTTTTTGTTGAGGGTCTATCATATCTTCCATCTTTTTGTTCCCTTTCCTGCTG